TCCGGTATATGGGGCCAGCACCCTACTCCTTTGAGCCACAGGCGCTGCCCCAAGGTCTGTGTTTTTAACAGGTGAGAAATGTGGGAAAAGGCAAAATGGAAAAAAAGAAAGAGCAATTACAAGATTTAGCTCGAGCTCAGCACCTGTGGCACAGTAGCTCCGGTGCCAGACACACATACACTGAGGTTGGCGGGTTCGAACCCAGCCTGCGCCAGCTAGACAACAATGACAATTGCAACCAGAAAATAGCCCGGTGTTATGGCAGGTGCCTGTAGTCCCAGCTACTTGGGAGTCTGAGGCAAGAGAATCGTTTAAACCTGAGAGTTTGAGGTTGCTGTGAGCTGTGATGTCACAGCACTCTAGAAGGGTGACATAGTAAGACTCTATCTCAAAAAAAAAAAAAAAAAAAGATTTAGCTCAGTTCTGTGAAACAATCAACTTTGATTTCTTTTTTTGTTGTTTTTTTTCTTGAGACAGAGTCCCACTTTGTTACCCCGGCTTGAGTGCAGTAGTGTCATCATAGCTCACAGCAACCTCAAACTCTTGGGCACAAGAGATACTCTTGCCTCAGCTTCTCAAGTAGGCTCCAGCCTCAACACCCAGCTACATTTTTTCTATTTTAGTAGAGATGGGGTCTCACTCTTGCTCAGGCTGGTCTTTAACTCCTGAGGCCAAGTGATCCGCCTACCTTGGCCTCCCAGAGTGTTAGGATTATAGGCATGAGCCACCTCACATGGTCTAATCAGCTCTGATTTCTACAGCCAGTTAGATGAGCGAGCTGGATTTGCTTGAACCATTAGTACCTCCCTAGTCTCTCTGAATTTTGAGATATGTTAGTATTCCATGAAAGGCAAAAAGTGAGGATTTGGGAGGCTGTATTGTGAATAAATAGGTCAGAAGAATGATGATTCTTTATTCGTCTCTTGGTGATTCTCCATGTGCATTAACTTAAGAGTTTTGATAAAGGCTCGGCGCCTATAGCTCAACCGGCTAAGGCGCCAGCCACGTACACCTAAGGTGGCGGGTTCGAATCCCCAGCCCAGACCCGCCAAAACAACAACGATGGCTGCAACCAAAAAATAGCCGGGCGTTGTGGCGGGCGCCTGTGGTCCCAGCTACTTGGGAGGCGGAGGCAGGAGACTCGCTTGAGCCCAGGAGTTGGAGGTTGCTGTGAGCTGTAATGCCATGGCACTCTGCCCAGGGGGACAGCTTGAGGCTCTGTCTCAAAAAAAAAAAAAAAAAAAAAAAGAGTTTTGATAAATACTGTAATAGAGATAAATGCACAAACTGGTTTAAACAAATATTTCTCAAATATAAATGTGCAATGAACCCTTTCTCTGCTGCTAGACACTGGGGAACCCTGTGTCACAATGTTCATATGTAACTATTTAAAAATAAGTAGAGGCCAAGCACAGTGGCTCACACCTGTAATATTCCTAGCACTCAGGAAGACCAGGGTAGATGGATGGGTTGAACTCAGGAGTTCAAGACCCACCTGAGAAAGAATGAGACCTCATCTCTACTAAAAATAGAAAAACTACCCAGCCATTGTGTCAGCTCCCAGCTACTCAGGAGGGTGAGGCAGGAGGATCAGAGTTTGAGGCTGCTGTGAGATATGATGCCACAGCAGTCTACCTGGGGCAACAGAATGAGACTATGACTCAAAAATAAATAAATAAACGAAAAATAAAAATTAGTCAAAGTATCGTTGGAGGGAAATCACAACAGGAAGTTAAAACACTACTTTGCACATTTGATCAACAGAGAAATCTATCCCCTTGCTTCATAATGGAAGCTAAGTGGGCCTGAAGTTACATAAATCACTTAATTGAACATGTTCTATTTTGAATTTATGGTGGAAATAAGCCAATAGATGCCTGGAAGACCAGTGGGTAGGGGGCAGGGAGCACTGACTCCACACCTGGGTTTATGGTCCCAGCTTATCCTCAAGGTAGCCAACAGCATCTCTGAAACTCCTAGGTTCGGAGTGCAGAACAAATAACCACGTCAGGACCAGCAAACTGTATCATCCCCAGCTTCCCTGCTTCTCAAGGTCACAGTCTTCTATCCTCAAGCCTGTCGTGGGGCAGGGCTAGCGGAGCCAGAGGACAGACCCACACAGTGAACTTCCTATCCATTTCTCCCACCTGAACGGTACTTATTCAAGACCCAATCTCCCAGCGTTGGCAGCGAGTGGGAGGAAAGGAAAGGAAGTTGGCAAGAATGAGGTCAAATTGAATCTGAGACCCATGCTCACAAGAATCTAATTTATTTTCACCATCTAAATAGATCTTTAACGCTGCAGGAAAAGCATTTCAAACTATCTTCACTGTCCTTTCATTATTTCAATATTTCTATCTTGAGTAACACATTCAGGTTTCACAGATGTGCCTGGACGCCCCCCCCCCCCCAAAATACCAATTAGGTTTGTGGATATGTCCCAGCTCTTAATGAAGGAAGGTCAGGTTTTCTATTTTTATATAGAATCAACCAAAATAATTTCTGAAACTCAAATAGCTACAGTGGTCAACGGTGTTCTAGGAAACACTTCCCTGCCAGTCAGCAGTGAGAGAAAGGCTGTTAGGGGACTCTCCGCAGTGGTTTATTTATTTTTATCAAATCTTTGGTCAAATTTTTCCCCAGGAAGTTGCGGCGTCCATCCTGAGACGGAGAAATGTCAATACCACAGACAGAATAGGAAGGGGGACCTCACCTAACAAATTTAAACACTCTAACCTCATTGTTTGCACCCCCATATTAATCTGAAATAAAAAAAAGAAAGGAAGATATTACAGAAGGCGGCTTGCCTCATCAAAATAACAAGCAGTAAACAAACACACTTCCTCCACTTACGGAATCCAGGAAGTCTTATGCGTTCACTTCTATTACAAAATCCATGAGTTTAAATAAAACACACTTGGTAAAAAACTGTTATTGAAACACAAAGTACGATAATTTTCTTAAATTATGAGCCTAATTGATTTTTTTTAATGGACCATTCACTTGTTCCTTGACCCTGAAAGATTTTTATGCCAGGCCTCCTGTACATTGCAAATTCATTATGGTCCACCTAGTTCCCAGAAGTATTGCATTAGGAGAGGTACGGAGATGAAAATTAAAAGCAAAACTGAGACCGAACAGTGCCTCGGGCAAATTAGTAATACAAGCGAAACCATTATGTAAAAATCATTGTTTGGCTGGAATTATTTGACTATGCATTATAAAAGTATTTTGAAAAACGGTGACAGAATTCTGTAATGAAACACAGCAGCCACCTCAAACTGCGAAGGGGGAATATTTACAACATGAAAAATGGGACAGGAATAATGAAGCCTGCCCTTTGGCAGGTACCAAGACATGAGAGAAGCATGATGTTTCTATCACTCAGATTGCGGACTAAATGCCATATTTGCCTACGGATAGCTCTGAGTTCATTCATTGACCCGGTATGTTCTCTCCCTTTTGGGACAAGAAACTCTTTTAGAGATTTATACTTCTGAACTTAATTAAGTGCCATATTATCCACATCAAGTAACACTGTGCATGCTGACCTGAGTTACTTAGTAATCTGGGGGATCCCAAATTTGGTGAGGATTAGAAAAAGGCCTACAAAGTAAGGTAGGATAATTTTTTTTCTAAATAAAAATTGGGGAAGACCCAGCAGAATAAACCCAGACTTCCATCAGAAATTTAAAATTCATCTATTTCCCACTTACATATTTTATGCCCGGGAAAGCTACAAACAGAATTCAAGTAACCATTGTGCTCAAAAGAACTTCAAAGGTATGAGTGGGAAAATAGCCAAATATTAATATCTCTTTTTTTTTTTTTTTGGAGACAGGGTCTCACTATGTTGCCCAGGCTGGTCTTGAACTCTTAGGCTCCAGAGATCCTCCCACTTCAGCCTCCCAAGTAGCTGGGACTATAGGCACAGGCCAGTATGCCCCCCTACTGATTCTTTTTAAAGAAAACTGCTGTAGAATCCTGTCTTTAGTTCTCTCATTCATTAAGACTGAAAGTATCTTAACTCTAGAATTACGGTAAGAAGGTTGGACTTAATTTCAAAGACACTGGGCTATGGTCTCAGCCGTGGACAGTATTTAATTTTATAACTTTGATCGAAGTACCAGAAACTCACTGAAATCAGGGTAAAGCAGGCCCAGTCCCTCTTGCTGTGGCCATTTGGAAAATGAAACGTGCCGACACAGAGACGCTGGCTCACTGTGAGCTTATAACCCTAAAGACCGAAGCGTGAGCTGGCTTTCTCATCCCCCGGGAGCATAATGAGAAAAACTCTAATTGCTTCTGAAAATGGGTTTCAAGGGTCTGCTTAAAGTAACTCCTTTCACTTCTTTCTTTGGTCTTTGGGCTCTCGACATACAATGATTTCAACAGTAGGGGACCATCTTTCTGGAAGACACGGAATAAGACATTTTTGTGGAAGATGTCACAGAATGTGACAGTGAGGTACAAGGAGAATCAAGAAATGTGTCGGCTTTGAAGGAAACACACAACCTAGCGAAAAGCGAACGGCCTCCTGAACTCCTGTGACACATCAGGATATTTAAAAGGAGATGGAAAATGTCAAAGAGTTTTATTTGCCGATGAGTACTTTTAAACTACTGTCATGTACTACACACTCACAGATGAATGAGATAAGATTTAAATATTTATGGTGATGGAATTCGTAAGGATGAATTCAGCATTCATGGGTTTTTTTGCATCTAGTATCTTGGGCTCTATCTTTTGCAGAACACCTTAACTAATACCATTCAAATCCCGTTTTGAAGCCTCAAATAAATATGAGAGTTTTAACCAAATCTTTCTTTACTTTCTACTCATCTACAACCACCAGTATTTGGATTGACACAGAAAATATAAAAAGTAGTGAAGTGCAAGGTCTTTATGTAAAATCAAAAAGAAAGCAGAAAGGAATAAAAAAAAAAAGAAAGAAAAAGAACCTCTTTCCAAGGAGGTTTAATCAAATAACGGGAGTCTACCTCTCCTGCTCCTGCTTCATTCGGGTCTTCTCCTCTTCTGATGTCAAGGATTCCTGCATTTTTATTTTACCCGATTTCTCAATCTTGTCATCTTTTCGATGTTTGCCAAACCTGTTGATAACAAAAAAATTCTAACTTGTCAATATATACAAAATGAGTTTCCTTTCTCTTGCGCTCCTGACATGGACTCGATGAAGTGGGTGCTGGCGTCTTCAAAAACAAGAGCCAAAGGTCTCCTGGAGTCCATGGTTCCCATCAGGATTTATGTTTTGAATCAGATTATTTATTTTTTTACTTAGAATGTCCCGGAGAAAACCCTTTTAGAAAAAGGCCTCCATCCCCAAGTTTATTTCAGCAAGACAAAGATAAAAACAAACAACCTGCCTTGCAGTGTTCCCTTACTAAACAAACAGCTAATACGTCGGCAGGACTAAGTGCTGAATTCGCTTCAGATGCTAGAGGAAGGGGGAACCACGGTGGAGTGGGCTTTTCCTAGGACTCAAGAATGATAATCCACAATCATCTGCTTAGTAGCCTCTCCGTAAACAACTACAGTCAGGCTCATTGGAAACATTCATCATAGTTTAAACACTGACAAACAAGGCCACATGTGCAAAGTCTGAAGTCCAAAGGGTAATTTACACTGCTGTAACGCTCGGTGTTACTCAGTGGAGAGGTTTAAGGCCTTGCCATCCAATACTCTCCTAAATCTGATGGAAAGCAATCGCCCCAAGTGGCGTCTTTGACTTGACAGAACTCTACCGGATGAGAAACCAACACGAGAAACAGACACAATTCAAACCCAGCCCACGCCAACTTCCACAGGTGGGTGCTGAACTCAGGCTCTTTAAGAAAACACTAATATTATTCTATGCTGGCACAGAAAATGGCTCAGAGGCTCGGCGCCT